CTCAAGCAGCACCTAAACGAGTTTCGATTTAATATCATGATCTCTTCGCATATACCGTACGAGCATCTGATTTATGATCAGGTGGAACCTTGGTTTGGCACACACTACACAACCGTCGATATGCCCGTTAAATGGCAGGCCATGTGGTCAAAGCCCGAGCCGCATCCGGAATTAAAAATGCCTGAGCAGAATCAGTTTGTAACCACGGACTTTACCGTGCATTGGATAGAGGCGGGCAAGCCGCATGTGCCGCGTCGCCCCAAGGCTCTTATCAAAAACGATTTATGCGAGCTCTGGTTTCGACCAGATGACACCTTCCTGCTGCCAGATGGCTTCGTAAATCTATACTTAATAACGCCCATAATGCGCAGAAGCCCACAAGATTACATGTCGGCGGTGTTGTACACCTATTTGGTGGAATTCAGCATCGCCGAACAGTTATATCCGGCGCTGGTCGCAGGTCTGACCTATGGCCTGGATACGGCGGATAAGGGCTTAGTGCTGCGCGTCAGTGGCTACAATCAGAAGCTGCCATTGCTGCTGGAGATCGTCATGAATGTGATGCAATCGGTGACAATAGATCCCGCTCAGGTGGTATCCTTCAAGGAGTTAAAGAAGCGGCAGATTTTCAATGCGCTTATCACTGGCAGATCCCTCAATCTTGATCTGCGTCTTACAGTACTTGAGCACATGCGCTTCACCCTGCTGCAAAAGTACCATGCCTTGGAAACCATCACCGTGGATGACATACAAAATTTCAAGGATAACTTCTACAAGAAGATGTACGTACAGGCCCTGATCCAAGGCAACTTCACAGAGCAGCAGGCGCGCGACATCATGCAGAAGGTGCACAGCACATACCAAAGCGAAAAAGTGGAAAACTTGGTGGATCAGCACAATCGATTGGTTCAGCTGCCGCTGGGTGAGCATTTTCTGCGCGTAAAAACCCTTAATGAGGATGATCCCAATACCATTGTGAGCAACTATTATCAAATTGGACCGTGCACTCTAAAAATGGAATGCCTGATGGATCTGGTCGATCTGGTTGTGGAGGAACCGTTCTTCAATCAGCTGCGCACGAAGGAACAGCTCGGCTACAGTCTGGGCGTCTACCAGCGCATTGGCTATGGTATTCTTGCCTATATACTGAATATAAACACTCAAGAGAACAAGCACAGGGCCGAGCATGTGGAGGCGCGCTTGGAAGCATTTCGCAGCCGCATGCCGGAGCTGGTCGCTCAACTGACAGATGAGGAGTTCGATGATGTGCGCGAAACGCTCATCAATGGGAAGAAACTGGCTGATTACAGCCTGGACGATGAGGTAATGCGCAACTGGAGCGAAATAGTCAGCATGGACTATTTTTTCAATCGTACTGACATGCAAATACAAACTCTGAACAGCCTCACAAAGGAGGATGTGGTCACATTTCTTTTAGACTACGACAAGTTCCATCTACGTAAACTCTCTGTTCAGGTGATTGGCGCTTCTACCGTGACCAGGCATTCGACAACCCAATCTATTTCCGATTCCGTTGCCGCCAGGCAAAGCTCTGTGACTGGCCTGGGCAGACGACCTGGCTCGCTGGCCATGATGCTCGATGAGGTGCAGCGCAACATATCCGAGGAACAGTTGCTGTTCGAACAGATCGGCGATCGCATCAGACTAGAGTTCATTGGCGTGAGCAATGACCCCTCCCACATAACGGATATATCCGCTTTTAAGAAGGATCTGCTCGTCTATCCGTTCATCACTAGCAATCCGAAGCTCGACAACAAGTCGTAAAAGCCAGCGATATAAGTATATCTGTTTTTATGTTGTTCAAACAACTGTTTAAAAGTCGTCGCGGACGAGCCTCAGGCTCAGGCAACGTGCTGCTAATGGGAAAGAGCCAAGAATTTTTGAAATATGTATTGGTAGACCTATTAGCAATGTACAAATTAGTGTCTTACCTTTTTTGAATCTGAAAAGCCATTAAATTTGTAATACAATTAAGTGTGGGTTTCCTTAAAATGCAACGTTAGATCAAGCAGCAAATCCTTTGCCTGCGAGGGATTAAGCAACCAAATCTCAGACGTCAAGATTTAATGTTGTGACGGAACGGGGCAGGGTCTCAGGAGTCAACTTATTGCTCTAGTCAACAACTGACGCCATTTAAAATAGCCCAAATTACAGTCAGCCGTATAAGTTTAGTTAAAGCCGATGTCTGGGCGTGTGCGCATTGCCGTGGCAACTGTTGCTGGCACATATTGTGGCTGCTGTTGCTTTCATCACCAGCAGCAACGGCAACAAAAAGAACACTGATGCTGCATAAGAAGTAATGGTTAGTAATTATATATGTATAGGGTAATTTATAAGCAAAAGCATATGCTAGACTACACAATACTCTGCATTAAATAGAAATAAAAAATGTATAGCATACTTTTGCGCGCAGGTGGTGTGTTGATTGATAAATTGAAGGAACAGACGTGACTTTGAGTCCGCACCAATATTTTATATACTTATTTTAATTTTCTTATGACAACACTATACTAATTCATGCTTTAATAAAATTTAAAGAAGTTTCTTAACTGAAATAACAAGCATTGCAACAGAATTGTTCACGCGATGATTGCCGTTGGCTTAAAAGGATTCAGCTCCTGCTGGCGTTGTTGAGCACTGAGCTTCATTATGAAAGCATATTGTGTCAGGCACTGTCCGCACTCAAATCTATATATATATTTCTGTGTATGTGTGTGTGTGTGTGTGTTGGAGCTCAGCAGCCTGTGTGCTGCTTGGCAGCTGTCCAACTGTTCGGCATTGTCGTTGCTGCTGGTTATATCTGCAAATTGTGCTGCTGCAATTTTGCGTTATATTGTTTGCGTATTTCGTTTCGGGTCTAAAAATAAACAAAACACAACAACTGCTAATGCCAATTGAAACGCCCCGCCTCCCAAACAGTACCGCCCACCAATCAGGCAATGGCCGGTTTTGCTAATGATAAGCCTTGCTTTGTAGCTATTATTATTATTGCTGATGCTGCTGCTTGTGGCTGGGATTGCCATAAAATAATTATGAGAGCGCATTATTTTGCCATTGATTCTGGATTTAATGAGCTGACTTTAATGGGCAACAACTTTAAGCCTTGAAATGCCATAAAAAGAATTAACAAAAGTTATTATTTAAGTGTTTATCTTTACTTACTTGACAAGTTGAAAGTATACAAGTGCATTGAGTTCACAAAATGCATTTTGCAAAAATGAGTAAAGTTTTATTTACGCAATGATTTCTTGCACAGCTATATTTATATATGTATATATATATATATATATGTAGTATATATAGATATATAAGTACATGTTTATCACTTGTTATAATTAATTTTATAAAACTTGTGTATTCCTTTTGTTTGCCAAAAAAATACACAACTTTTATGAAGTCATAGAATTGATGCACTGCATTTTATTGATTGTATTTGTATTGTATTTAAATTAAATTTTAAACGCAACACATAAAATTTTTAAGCCAACATTAAAGTAAATATATGTATTTATAATATATATTGTGTAATTGAATTATGCATTTAAAAAAAAAAACAATAAATTTAGTTATTGGTAATTAAATTCTGTGCGCCTGTCAGGCGCTTAACAATAAGTAAACTTTTAGCAAACTCTTTTTTTTTGTTTTTATTTTTATTGTTGTTGTTTTGTTTAAATTAATTAATGAATTGATAATAATGGAAACATTTTTTCAAGCGCATTGATGATAATATGATTTATATTAAGCATACAATTGAATTTTCGATGCACTGTAAACCAGTTGCAATTTCATGAATATCTAAATAGATTATTGCAAATGTAAACAAGTGTTAATTGAATTGTTGCCAAAGTTTTTGGGCGCATTTTAACGCTTTTTGACTTAGGCTATAATTTAATAAAGTAATTTACTTATATAAAAATATATGTATATAGTTAGGTGTATTTATGCGTTGATTATTATTTTTTTTTACGATTTTATATTTTTCATTTTTAGCTCAGTTTTTTTCTTTCATTTTAATTGTTGAAATGTGTCGATTAATCTACATATTGTTCAGTTTAATTTTTTTAATTTGGTTTTTTTTCTATTTGCGAGTGTGTAAAACACTAAAAATATGTCCGAATGCTAAGCATGCTCTAAATGTTCACTTACATTTAAGAAAAATGTATTAAACAAAAATTACTTATTTATAAACATTAGGTTTACTTTTTAAATTTCATATAACAAGTTAGAATATGCTGTGAAGTACATAGCGCCTTAAAGAAGTTTTTAGTATATGTTTTAATTATTTTAAGTAACGGAATTTGCTCTTTTTTCTATTTGCCCCAAAGTTAATTGAATGCAAAAATGTGCCCTTTGCGTTTAAAAAATTATTGACTTAAAAGGCATTAAATGAATTATTTTAATTGATTTAATTAAATTTAATTTTTGTTTCGACTACTTTAAAGGCTTTTTCTTTCCTTGTAGGAAATACTTCTCAAATTGTTTACATTAATTTTTATTTGATGTTAAATTAAAGTTTGCAAGTGTTTCTTTTTTTTTTTTAATGATTTTTAGGCTCGCTATTGCTATTCTTTAAAATTAATTTCATTTTAAATAGAACTTAAAACAAAATTCTTGAATGTGTTTTAATTGTTTTTTTCGCAATGACAAGACATGTTTTTTTAATGTTCTTTTGCTCACTCACCAGAACAGGCTCAACCAAATTAAATTGCTGATTAACAATATCATCATCAATTTTTAATTATCATCCTTAAATCATCTCATTCATGCTCTCGAACTCTCTGCGCTCGCTCTTTCGTACCCTCTTTCTCTCTGATAGACTTTTAGTTAGATTTCACTCGCGATATTTTCAAATTGGAATGACCTTAATTAGAAACATGTACTTTTTTCTCGAGCTTTACAACATTTTTGCTTATGTTTTTCTATATATGTATATCTTTTTTTTATTATGTATTTTCACTCATTTCTAAACGTTTTGGCTGTTTTATTTTTTCTCTTTTTTTTTTTTTTTGTTGTTGCTGCTGCTTATAGGAAAGGGTGCTGAAATATTGTGGAGTGTTTTTTGGACTAACTCTCCCGGCAATTTTGGCTTTAGTTGTGTATGTGTATGTGTTTTTTGTTTTATATATATTTTTTTAATTGGAAATAGTAAAGTTTTGCAATTTCATCTATATCGTTCAAATGTTTTAAATGCATTTAGAAAATAAATAGGATTTCTTTTTAGTTGTGTTTTTCATCTTTGTGTTTTTCGTAACGAATTTTCAGGAATATTTGAGAATAGTGAGCCACACGATAGGGTGTATTGCATAAGGATCGTTTAAATGGGCAAAGCAACAAGTTTGTCCAAATTATTGGCCCATTTCAATGTATTTTATTATACGGTAAAATCACCTGCCGCCCAGCTCATCTTGTAGTCATCAATGTTGAACAAATCAAATATATCGCCACTAGCATTGAATGCATCCACAGCACCACCACCGCTGCCGTCCATGGCATTGCCCATGCCGTTGGCCATGCCCGTTGCCGCCGTGGCATAGTCACCATGTCCGCCCGATTGCGGTTGGGTGACCGCCTGCATTATGGAGTTCAATGTGCTCTCGAAGTCATCGCAAACATCCATCGGAGTGCTGCTGTAGTGACCATTTGCCGTGCCACACTCCACGGCGGCGGCATTGTTGCTATTGTTGTTGCTATTGTTGCTGCTGGCGGTGGTGGCAACGTGCTGGCTAAGCTGCGCCACAAAGCTGTCCGCATCGAAGTCAACATCGGCGCCGTGATTGTTATTCAAGAGCACGCTGTCCGGACTGCTGGCATCGAGCAGCTCATTGATGCTGGGCTGCAGGCTGGGATTGAGATCGCGTCGCATGCTGTTGTTATTGGCGCTGTTCTTGCCGGCACAATAGTTGTTCGAGTCGTCGCCAATGTCCATTTCCAGTTGCTGCGACATCAGCTCCAGCAGCTCATACTCATCAAAATGATTGAGTTTGGCATCCGGACTGTTCGGTTTGTCGCTGGCACTGCCACTGACGCTGTTGCTGCTGCATTTGGGCGGCGTGCTGGGCGGTGGCGTGGCATGATGCTGTTCCAGAAATATGTCCAAAGTTTTTGCCACGCTCTCCGCATCAATGGCCGACACATCTGTCTGCAGCGGCGAGGCCATATCAATATTCTCAATGTAACCATGCGTTGTGGCTTGCGGATTGCTGGACGCATAGCTGACGTGGCTGTCGTTGGTGTCCATGGCCATGTCCAGGTTGGGCAGCGATTGTGGTGTGGGCGGCGCCTCCAATTTGGGCACCAGCGGCACAATGCTGGCACCGCCAGCTGCTGTTCTTGGCGTCACACCATTGAACATGGCCAGCTCGGGCAGCGGCGTCAGTGGCGTTATGGGCTCCAGGGCAGCGCTCTCCGGCAGCTCACCCTGCTTGATTAGTATGTCCAGCACATCGCTGACCTGCTCCGATTTGATGCCCGTTGGCTTGCGCTGTATTTGGCATTTTCCGGTTGCCGTTGCTGTTACTGCTGCTGGTGGCGCGGGTGATGCTGCCGGCTCCTCTTTGATCTTCATTAGCGGCATGCTGTTGCCCATGGCAGCGGCTGCTTTGCTGGCTGCCAACTGCTTCGTCGCCTCCTCGTACTGGGGTGGCGGCGCTGTTGTGGGTTTTATGTCTAGTTGTATGAGCTGTTGGCCAGGCTGAAAATGTTGCTGCTGCTGGTGTTGTAGTTGCAATTGCTGTAGCTGCTGCTGTGTGATGATGGGCTTGGCATCAATGGGAAACACAATGCTGGGCAACGAATTTGTGCGCTGGTGTCCATTGAGCAGTTTCTTTGTGGCAGTTGTTGCTCCTGCTGCAACCGCTGGCGGCTGCGGCGGTGTTGCTGTTGTTGTTGTTGTCGCTGTGAGGCTAATGTTGCCCAGCGTGTGCGCCGTCATCTGCTGATCATTGAGGCCCAGCAAAAATATGGTCTGGTTGCCCTCATTCCAGACGAGACCCACGTTGTTTGGATGCGGCACGGCGGCTGTTGCTGCTGTAACTGGCTTGGCTGCATGCAATATTGCTGCCGTGTTGCCAGTAGCATTAACAGCATTTGACTGCTTTGTGGGCGTGGCTGGCAGCTTGGGCACGCTATTTGTATTGTTATTGTTGTTGGATGGAATGAGTACAGTTTGTGTCTTTTGCGTAAGCAAACGCATCTGCTGCTGTTGTGCCTGCTGCTGTTGCTGTTGTAGTTGCTGCTGTTGTAGTTGCTGCTGTTGCAGTGCCGCTGCGGCAGCGGCCGCCTTTTGCTTTTGTATCTTGGCTTCCAGCTGTTGCTTGACCACCATTTTTTGATTGATCGGCGGTGCCTGTTGTCCATTGCCGTTAGCCTGAATGCCGTTGCTGCTGCTGTTGTTGACGGGCTTCTTAGCTTGACTGCTGCTGTTGCTGTTGTGCATACCATTTAGCTTGCCGGCTGGCGTTGTTGTTGCCGGCTTGACGGTCACCTTAGCGGGTATAGTCTTCTCCAGCTGCGGCAGCACCGTCAACGTTTGCTGCGGCCCGTTCGCCGTGGTGGTTATCAGCGTTATCTGCTGCGAGGGCAGCGCATTAACCACCTGAGCTGTAACCGTCTGCTGCTGCTGCTGTCGCCGTATTTGCTGCAGCTCCTGTTGGGAGCGTTGCAGCTGCCGCTGCAGCTCGTCGATTTTACGCTGCTGCCGGCGCAATAGCTCCTCGTTCTGTATAATGGTCGCCGTTTGGGGTTGCGGTGGCAAAATTGTTTGCAGCGTCATCGCATGACTGCTGTCCAGCTGCTGCACCACATCCATTTGCTCGTGCTCCATGGTGCTAGCGGGCGACTCAGCCACCAGCATGGCCACTGGCGGCGGCTGCCCATCCGTGGCTCCACAATTGCTGGTATCCATGGCATCGCTGATGGTGATGACCTCGCTGACAGTAGCAGGCGTGCTGGCCGGCGTGCAGCATTCGATGGGCTCCAGTGGCAGATAGGGTTTCAGTCGATCAATCAACTGCGGCTTAGGCCCCGAGACGGGCAAATTGCGACGCTTGAGGTGCTGCTTCAAATCGGATACCTTCATTTTCTCCAGACGCGTCAGATCTGTTATGGAGCTGGTGGACTCGGCATAACTATTGGCCGGACTGGCCGGTATGGAGGAGCTCACTGAGAGCGCTGGCGAGGGCAGCGGCGGAGGATGTTGCTGATGATGCTGCATCGCGGCCGTAGCAACTGTTGCTTGTGTCTGCTGTGTGGCTATTAGCGACAACGTTGGGGGTGTGGGCGCAGGCGTTGCTACGGGCGTTGCCGCCAATAATGCCGCGTCTCCAAAGTTCAACGGTGCGCCACCCGTGCTGCTGGTTATAGAAATGGTGTTGGGCAGCGCAATGGGCGCCGGTGTTGCCGCCGTCGTGATAGATGTGGCCAGCGCCGGCACCGTCTTAGTGGTCACCGTGATGCTGTTCGCTGTGGTGCTGATGGAGCTGCTGGGGGTGGCTGTGGCAGCGCTGGCTGGGGGCAGTATGGATTGGTTCTTGTTGAGGTTCTCCAGAAACTTGAGCAAATAATTCTGCTGCTCGAGAAGCAGCTGATAGGAGGTTGTTTGATCCGACTGCGTTTGATCCTGTGCTTGGCCCGCGGCGCTGGGTGGTCCCTTATATTCGTGAAATTTGATGGTGCGCGCCTTGGACACAGGCTTCGACTTGGACTTTTTGCGATTCTTGTCTTTGCCGGGCGCATCCGACTTGATGGATACAGGATGCAGCTGCAGCCGTGTCGGCGGCGGCGGCGGCGATGCAATGGAAGACAATGGACTCAATGTGGATGTGCTGGAGCCCAAGGAGCAAGGTGACGCGAGCATCGGCAGCATGTGATTGCTGGCTGGACTGGACGTTGGCCCGGCCACGCTCTGGCACAGCTCCTCAAACAGATTGGCCGTCTCCTGCTTCACCTTGATGGCACTGGCAACAGGCATGGGCGGCGGCGGTGGCGGCGGTGCACTCACAATATGTGTGCCGACCATGTGACAATCTGTCGTATTCAGCAGCTGTATGGAGGGCACCACGCTGAGCATCAGCTGCCCACAGTTGCTAGTCGTTGACGTGGGCGTGGTCAGCGCCACAGTGACAATGCCCGCTGAGGCGGCAGCTGCCTGTAGCATGTCCTTAGGCGTCGATGTAAGCGGCTCGGGTGGCACCACTGCACCGCCGCTTGCCGTTGTGGCCGCTGGGCCCGCAGACATGAGCTCGTCCAGGCGCGGCGGCGTCTGCCGTGTGTCGCTCTCGGAGCTCTGTGAATCCTCCTCGAAGGTGACATAGCTATGCGGATGCTGTGGGCGCGTCAACAGACCCTCACTGGTTGCCTTGAATGGCACCAAGCCCTCTTTGACAATCTTCTCGATGGGCTTCTCCGTATGCAGAATGTTCTTCTTAATGAGCTCGAGCGGTCCCGGTCGATGCTGGATCTGTGAGTTGAGCTGATCGGCCAGGCGCGCCTTCTTCAGCATGCGCTGCTTCTCCGCCAGACTCGGATCGATGTGGCACTCATCCTCCTCCAGTATATGCAATCGCTCGAGATCTTCGCGATTCGGCCGCTGCTGGATTTTGGCCTTCAGCAAATCGCTGGTCTTGGCGCGTTCCAGCTGCTTGCATTGTTCGTGGATGGCGGGCGAGGTTTTGAGCGCTGGCAGAGAGAGAGAGAGAGAGAGAAAGGTAAATTAGATATATAATATATCAAATTATTTATGAAACTCTCAATTCTTTTAGAAATAAAATTAATGCATTGAAAAGCTAAGAAGTATTTGTAGACCGTACTAGGAAATGTCCCTACACAAAAATTTGCTCTATTTTAGGCAAAACTCTGACATTCTGCAACATTTAGAATAAATACGGATTGTATTTTAAATATTTTAAAGTGCCGCCAGCAAGGCAGCTAAATATTATTTTTTTTTTTCATTTATTTTACTTTTATTATTATTCTCTTATTTTTTTCGGCGTTGTCGAAAATTTGTCATTTAAATTCAAATTCAAATTCACTTTCGGCTGCGCTCTGCACATTCAATTGGTTTGTAAATTCGCGTATTTTGTTGATTCTTTTCTGGCTTTCTTCCGTTTGCGTTCGCTCAACTTTTTGTGGCGCCGCGCATAAATTTGGTAAGGAGGCCATTGAAAATGCGCGGATATTTGCATATCCTTTTTGCCAGGCTTTCACGTCTGCCAGGACGTGGCTGTGAAGCACATAAGTGGGGCTAATGTGTACTTTCTGCGGCGGCTCTTCAATACTATTTATCGATTTGGCTAGGCAAAAGCCGGAGTTATATTACGAGAAACAAGTATACCGTGTGCTGCTTGCTGCTTTACTTACATGGTATTATGCCCTGCTCGACAAGTTGCGAGTGCGGCCGTCGCACCATCAGCTTCACTTTGAGCGCTGCAAGGAGAAAAATAAATACCATTATTATACATTTTCAAATCAAAAGCATCGCGCGCTAAATGACAGCTCAACAAGTTGCGGCTACAAATCAAAAACCACAAATTTGGACGCACATAAATTATAGAGTTTAGCTAGTGCAGAGGAGGGCCGCAGGCAGAGATCAAAACAAAAACATAGCTCATAAAAAATTCGTTAAACAGCTGGCCAAAATGCGAACGCCCAAGTTTTCCGCGGGTTTTCGTATTTCTTGACAACCCAAAGCAATAAATGTCGAGCCCAGCACACGAATAGGAAAAGAAAAAAATACAAACAGCTGCAAATGGAAAAACAAGGCAACAAAACGCACAAAAATATTACTGCTAAGCAAAGCAAAGTAAAAGAGCAGAAAAAAAGGAAAACTTTTAATATCTTTATGTGCGGTCTGCCTTTGTTGTTGCTCTCGTTCCTGTGGGTGTATATAACTTTTACTTTATTCATTTTTTCTGTCTTCTTCTGCTTAACACCATCGAGTGTAAAGTTGTCGCCCCCAAAAATTAAATATTTAAGCCGGGCACCAAGAACGACGTATACCCACATGCCGCCCGGACGCCATGGGGCGTATGCGTAATAATATGATTATATGGCAACTGCTACCAAATGACAGATTGATGTCAATTAACTTGACATAAAGTCAGCAAAGTCTCTGCTGCGATAACAGCTTCACACAATGGACGCGGAGAATGGGTGGCAAAAGAATAAATCCATACAAATTGCTTTGATTAAATTTACACTCAACAGCTAGGAAAGATGTTCTAGCTTAGGAAATAGTTCGGTTAGCTCAACAGTTTGTTTTTATAGAAACTTGTAACTTTTATGAATGATTAAACAACTTTTAAATAAAGAACCAAAAAACCAATTGAAAAGAATTTCTTTAACATATACATGAATTACTCAGTTTGCTTGTTAAGCATACGACTTGTTGCCTCAGTTGATTAGCATCAATTAGGCTATGGACATTAGCGAGACTATTGCACAAAATGTGGGACGAGGCATGTAATTAAAATGGAAATAAATCACATTAAGTCAGGAGACTAGAGCCAAAAATAAAAGCCAAAACCACAAATGAAATGAAAACACAAATCTTTTGGCTCCAGCAGGGGGCACTGCACCGTGGCTGTGGTTGTTGTTGTTGGTGCTGCTGTGGTTACAGCTTTGCTGCCAAGGCCAACCGCATGAAATGCCAAATGCAGTGCAGAGTTTATTTTATTTTATTTAATTTTCCTTTTTTTTTTTTTTGTTTTGTTTTATTTTAGCATTTGGTTAACGCGGTTACACATATGCATACATTTATTTGCATGCAAAACGACAAGAGTTTTGTGGCCCAACAGACGGCAGACAGCATCAACACTTGACGCCACAACAAAGTCGCATAAGTGAAAACGGCGACGACATCAAAGTGAGATGCTGACGATGACGTTATTAAAGTAATTTGGGCTCTTGGAAAATCATCATAAAAAAGGAAAAAAAAAACAAAATTTTAAACGAAAAAGAAAAATATCGGCGACCAGAGCGCTGCCAAGGCGCGTAATTGTCTCGCGGGTTGGCGCTGGCAGCTGTCGCCCATTTTATGATTGAAGTGTGCACAGCGCGCAGAAATGTATAAAAAATTCACTTTACCATCTCTCTCGCACTCTCTCTCTCCCTCTCTTTCTCTATCTGATTTGTTGTTGTTGTTTTTCTCATTATGGCAAATATTTGGGCATGTAACACGGCTAAAACAATCTTGGTGACGAAGCCAACGACTGTGCCGTCTGCCAAATTAATTACGCTAGCAATTTATTCTTGGGTTTTCATCTTCCTCTTGTTATTGCATTTTTTTTTTTGGTTCTTCTTCTTAATTTCTAAATGGGCGCTGCTCTGTTTACGTGTCGATTTTACACCTACACACGCGATTGATAAAAACAATAACAAAATTCCAAATTAAACACATAAAAGTTTTTATGCGATAGCAATAAAAGTGTAGACGTAGCTAAATCGTTCTTAATATTGTTGTTGTTGCTGCTGCTATGCTTCTTCTTATTACTACGGTGGGTGAGTAGGTGGCTGGGTGGGTGGTTGCCCTTCTGCTTGGAGGCCCAGTTCCACGGGCGAAGGTCAGGTAAACAAAGCAAAAACCAAAAGAGCGAGATGAGAGCGGCAACAGCTGGCTGACCGCAAATACATATAACACGAATATATAGAGGAATATATGTATGTGCATATATATATATATATACATGTATATAGTATTATAAAATCGATTACGTGATCAGCGGCAGCGCCTCAGCTAAGACGCCATCAGCGTGGGCCAAATCATTGAGCAGGCAGCCAAGTAAACCAAAACATTAGCGGCAGCAGGAGGTACAGTGGGGCCCGCTATGAAATACTAAGTCTAAATTTAGGCACAACAATATATTATATCATTCTTATAATGCCCATTTAACTAGCATATATACAACTCTTTAGCACTTTAGCGAAATTTATTATTATAAATATAGCTTAAGGCATGCCCAACTAAATCTATTTAAATTACAGAGAAACAGTTGCTCGAACACGAATAAAATCTACTGTTTGCCAAGTTCAAACAACTTTCAGAAGTATCTTAAAACAAACATTTCCTAGCCAGCATTATTTTTGTTTATGCACTACCTTGAACCACTGTGCAATGGCATTTTACATGCCTACCGACTGCCGTTGCGGCTGCTATTTCCGCCTTGGCGTTTGCGCGCCTGCAGCAGCCACAGAATTTACAGCAACCACTCGCTTTACATAGGTGCCCCGCAGCCCGCAGCCCGCCGCTAGCATCCCGCGCCCTATACCCTGCACCAGTCCGCCCGCCTTCCGTTTCCACCTCTGCCCGCGCCGAGCGTTTGAAAGTCGCGTGCAGCGTGTTTATTTGTCAAAACATTTTTGCAGCGCCTTCGCCGCCTGCGCCTGGTTGCCATCTGTTTATAATAAATTTTAGTTGCAAATTGCAAAATGTTTACAGTGGGGCCAGGCAGAAAAGAAGAAGAAGAACCAGCAGCGGCAACAGCAGCATTTTTTCAACGCTAATATGCAGTTCATGTTTATTTGTTAGATAACGGTTTTTGGGCGCGTGTATGTGTGCATTTGCATTTGTGTATGCCTGCCGGAAATTTGGGCTGCCCATTGGTTTGCTTTTTGGCAGTTTAATATATGACTTTTAATATTGCAAAAGAAAAAAAGCATAAATAAATAAAATAAAGAAACGAGAAAAACGAAGAGCACATTGCGAAATGCATGCAAATAATTGGCGCCTTTTGTCAGGGTCAGGGTGTTGTGAACTTTTGTTGGGGTTGGGGCTGCCATTTTGGCAGCCACTAAAGACCGACAAAAATGTCAGAATGCCAGCCAAGCGCAGGCGACAAGAGCTGTCAAAACTATTAGCGGCTATGGGACACAAATTTACACACACATATCCACATATTCAGGCCATTCAAAATGAATAAGATTATTTCTCTTCACTCAAAATGCCAAGCAAATATGTAGGCCAAACAGCAAAAAGCCAAAAACGAAACACTGTTGACAATATCTGTGTGTCTGCTCGGACCATGAATGAGTTCTGCTGCCGCTGCCGCTGCTGCTGCTGCAGTGGGCGAATTGGAGGGTGGGCGTGGCAGAACATGTGCACGCCTTAAGTGCCCGCGGCGCACTGACAGCTTCATTAAGACTTTTGCGCGCTTGCAAAATGCCTCCAAGTCGATAATGAGCAAAGATCTCGATGACGCTGCCGCTGTTAATGATGAGGCGGCAAGCAACGGCGGCTACTGTTGGTCAGCGTCGAGTGTCGCCAAGCGTATGACTAAACAAAGCTAAGACAAAAAATAAAAAATAAATAAATAAATAAACGAAACAAGTTGACAAATGTCAAACAGCCGCGAGATGGCCAAAAAGGTGGGCGTTTGCACCAAATATGAAAACATGAACCAACAACAAAGCGAATAAATGAAAACGAAGGGCCGAACGTGAAGCGCCAGAGCTGAGCATGTATAATTTAGTAATATACAAGTTTTGAATTTGAAAATTCAAGATGTCTCTGACACAAGTGCTTCTAGCAGCAGATAAATCTTAAAGTTAAAGGAAAAGAGGAAGAACAAAAAAAATACAATGACTATGCACCCTGAGTTCTAATTTTTAACTATTATTTACCATGAACGTAAGGGATAAATTGCTTAAGTAAAAGCAGATCCTAAACATGGACCGACACCTTTTTTTTTTTAAACGCTTTGGTTATCATTCAAGGTAATAAGTTTCCAAGTTCCATGCAAAAGGTCTTGGAAAGCCACGCTAACGACTCTTATGTCTCAGCGACTCAACTGTTAAGATCCATCTCGACTCAGCAGTTAGCAGACAAAAGCAATCTTTTACTCACATTCTTTATTCTTATCCATGGCCGGCTGCAGCGGACTAGAGTCGACAATGGCCTTTGGCGGTGATTGACGGGCATCATAGCAATCGGAATTGTTGCCATCATCGCTGCTGCCCAGGAACGTCGCATGCAGACGCTGTTCGGCTGCAAAGATAGAAAGTGGTCCATTAGCTGATTGGGCCAACCAGTCAATTTAGATGTAAGGCAATGCTCACCCTCCGACATATCGTCGTAGGCCTCTTGCAGCAGTATTATATTCTGAAAATTATGCTCCAAGGCCTTGCCGCTGAGCCGTGTGGCCAGCAGGCCGTTGCAGCTGTCGCTCGAGATGAGCTCGACGGTGGTCAACGGCGATGTGGAGAAGGTGGCCAGCAGCGAGGAGCCGCCGCTGCCGCTGGCGCTGCTACCGCTGCCGCTGCTCAGGCTGTGCAGCGATGCGGACTTGACCAGTTGGCCAACCTTTGGGCTGTTATTGTGCGTCTTTTGGGTGGCCTTGAGTGTGCGTGTCAGGCTCTTATTGGGCGACGTCGATGTCGACTTGTTGAGCAGACGTTGCGCCGTTGCTGCACTAACTGATTTGGAGCTGGAGCTGGAACTGTTGCTGCTGCAGCTACTCACGCTGCTAACGCTGCTGCTGCTGCAGCTGCTGTTGGATTTTTTGGAACAGTTTGAGCTTATCGATGAGGCGGGCGATGCTGATGAGGAGCAGCTGCTCAGTATGGCCGATTGCTGCTGCTGCTGTTGTTGTTGTTGCTGCTGTTGTTGTTGCTGGAGTGTATTGTTGCTGCTGTTGGCTGATTTGGTATCAATGCTTATGGGTATGATGCTGGCGGCCACCTGCTTCTGCTGTCGTTGCTGCTGCTGTGGCGTTTGTGGCTTGTTTGTTGTCCCGGCGGCGGCTGCTGCTGCTGCTGCTGTGGCGCCTGATGTGCTTTGAAACCAACTAGGAAAGTTGCCCTTTAGCGTATCAATTAGATCCTGATCGAGCGTTAAACGCCACGATGCAGGGCCGCCGTCCACGCTGTGCGTAGACTCTGCAAAAAGAAAGAAAAGCAAAGATATATTAATCAAATTGATTACACGATACGCTGCGTATATTTAATATGCCTAAGGATATACCAAAACGGGTAGGCCTTTCTATCTAATTATTACTCGTGTTTTTTGCTTACTTTTTGTTTTTCAGTTACTTTGAATTATATTTGGCCTTTATGCGTGCAACAAGTGCGCAGCTTAATAAAAGAAAATTCAAAAGGACGCCCAGACACTTGACCCCCTCCACTGCTTAGCGGGCAAATTTTGTTTAGCTGGCATATAGACGGAAATATATTATATTTATTTATTTAGTCAAGCTGTTGCGCACTTATTTATTTTAATCTTCACCCTTTGGCGGCAAAGCCAATGACGCAGCTGCCCGTGTGCTAGTTATTTGTGCTAAACACTGCCAAATAACCTACTTAATGCTGGCCACGCCTCACTCCTCACGCCCAGCCCCCCCGGTGAAAACCTAGCAACGCACGTACTTGGTTTTTCTTTTACTTTATTTTTTTTGTGTTTTTGTGTTTTTCTTCGAATCTTTTTTTTTTTGAGCTTTCTTTGGCGTTTGTTGCCTTGTGTTTATTTACGAACTTGTCAATGGTTTTGCCTATACGCAAATTGTTTAATTGTTTTTTTGGCATATTTCATAAACTGAGTGTGTGAGCATGTGTGTGTGTTGTTTGCTAACTATGCAAGTAATTGTTATAGCTGTAAATGCGTTGAAATTTTTGGCACTGACCGCTATTGCATCAGGCGAGCGCGACATTCCCAGACGCGCCTCAAGTTATGCAACAGTTTGTCAACATTTTTAGCTCTGTCCGCAAATAGAAACCGTGAAAAATAAAAACCTTTTTATACCCTTTGCCAACGAGCTGTGCATTAGACTGACATGCACTTGTCAAATGTACCGTTTTGGCTGAGCTCTTGTTATTTTTGGCAAATGTTTTATTTTTTTCAACTTATTTTTTGTTATTTCTATTTATAGTTAAATTTGTTTAAAGGTTTATTTACTTTGTTGCTGAATGGACCTATTTATAGCTAGCTTAAGGCGACAACTAGCAGCTGCTCAAGTTTGTTTTTCAGTAAATTCCAAAACTTTAAGACATAGCATAGACATGGCATAACGCTGTTGCCACATGTATTTTAATTAATGTGGGGCGCCAAGGTAGCAACTGTAGCAGAGCAAAAGAAAGCGAACAAACAACAATAGCCACTTGCCACAAGCGCTGCCCCACGCGACGCCTGTTTCCGCTTGGCAGGCATCAATGTCGCCATCAGCTGCCGCTGTCCCTGCCCCTGCGTGAGCCTTCTGCAAGACCTCTGTTACCCCAGATGTGTGGTGATGCTGCAGCATAGCTTTGATGCTCGCTCGCTCATTGGCGCGACATGTTGTCCACACGCAGCCAACACAAAGCCATTGCCAATTCTATTTTTGATCAGCCAGCCAGCCACTAGCCAAAATGCAAGTGGTTTTTGGTCTAAAATCGCTCCAAGTCCCATCCAACAGACGCGGACGAACGAGACGCGGATGCAACTGACAACACCTTGCCCATTAACATTTTTGCCAATGGGGCGTATGCGCAACGTTGACGCCAATCCGATGCTAAATAAATTAAAATCAAGAAATTTGATTGTGTGCAAATGCAGATACTATTGAAATGAAGAACTTGTGTCTCAATGAGCTCCTGAAAAGTACTAGGTTTCTACTATTTGAGTATTGGGTACACATAGTTTAAAATTTAATCATATTCTGTATTTAAAACCAAATAAGAGAAGTCAGTTTGTCGTTCACTGTCAAGGAAATCTATTTTATTAATAAATCCAGAAGCCCGTATTGTCGGTTTCTTTTGTTATTTGAAATTTAGAAAACACATCCAAAAACTAACTATACAGAATTAGCAAACAAACGAACAGTCATGGCCGATACACCAGACCGAACTAGCAAGGAAAATTTAGCGGAGGCGGCTGGCAAGGAGGCCAGTCCAGAGCAGACGGTTAAGGAGAAACCAGCAAAGGGCAAAGACAAGGAGAAAAAAGGCAAGGATGATGATAAAGCTGGCCGCCCATCGGGTGCAACGCCAGCGGGCTTAACACAAGCACAAGCTAAGCCAGCGGTGGCACGTTATGCGCCCACGTATCGCCTCGAACCAAAGAACCCGTTGAGGCAGGAACGTCTGGAGTTAATCGTTAAGGCAGAAATGAATAAGAACTATGGCGCGGATTATAGCTTCCATCCAAAGTACTCTTTGCATATGGCTGCTCAGGTCACCGAGGATATCAAGTCTCGCATCAAATTACTGAATTTCGATAGATATCGTTACATAGTGTTGATCACAGTTGGCGAATATCTCATGCAGGGCCTCTACTCGATGGCTAACTTTTTATGGGATGCCGAAAAGGATGGTTATGTCAACTACACCATTGAGACGCCCACGTTTTTTGCAGTATGCACAGTATTTTATATATATTATGATTGAGGCATGGGGCAAGCCCAGAAGTATACATTAGTCCCTCTTATATTTTCAATTTACATAAAATATATGTTGGTTTCGAAGCTCGTGCAAAATGGAAAAATAAAGTCTTATAATAACAATTAGGAAGCAAACCGCGTTCAGATATATATCAGGGAAAGGTTTAATAAATGCAAAATTTATATATCTCCAGTTAGTCTCACAAGAAGACATGGCATGAGCAGAATAACTTGGCTGTTTGTTGCTGATTTATGATTGGCTAACCTGCGTTCTATTTGCAACATAAATTTGTGCCTTTCACCAATTTTATCTATACCCATAACTGACTGAAGAAGTATAACTGCACCAGATAATCGTGCATAAGCCAAGCCAAAGTGGTAGCCCATTGGCAGGTAAGTCGTAAATTTTATGGCCCAAAAGCAACAGTCCTTTTAGCCAACATCTTTTGACTGTCCATGCACAAAACTAATCATTCAAAACGCAGCGGAAGTTGCGGCGGAAATTGTAGCAGCTGTTAGTGCCGCCCCATGTGTGTGTGTGTGTGTGGGTGTGGGTGTGCGTGTGTGTGTGTGTGTGTGTCTGCTCGGGTGTAGTCGCCTTTGCTGCTGCGGTGTAAACATCAATTATGTATGCTCCGGTATATGCCAGTAGCGCCCGCAAAGTATGCTACAGAGCGCGGCACAGTTTCGTGTTGTTGTCGTTTTTGTTGTTGTTGTTGGTTTTCTTGCCGCTGCCTGCGTGTGTATTTGTGTGTGCGTCCGTGTGTCTGTCTGTTTCTGTGGCTGGCACTTCCTCTCGGCAACAGGAAACAGGATGCTGTTAATGTTACAATACGACATAATCGATGCTTGTCGTACGAGACTCGCATTTAACCTGGCAATTTGTCGGCTGCATAAACATTAAGTTTTATTTGCAGTTTATCTGCACGTTACATGGCCTACATCTCACACACACGACCCGCTTGTCGCCTGCCACTGCTGGCAGCCATAAATCAAGCAATGGCAACTTTAATGGCTAGACCAACTTTATGGCACAATTAAATTGAAGGCAACAAATAATAAAACAGCAGCGGAACAAAAAAAAATTGATTAAAAAATGCAAAACGTGCTAAACGCTGACCTTTATAACAGCGTGACGTGGCGAATCGTTGTTTTGATTTTTATTCTTATGGGTTGGTTTTTTTTTATATACACATTTTGGCATTTCTGTAAAACAATCGACGCGACGTTAACATATTCATTTGAATGCCAATAGCAGATGCAGCAGCAGCAGCAAAGCTGCTGACAGCTTCGACAAGCGAGGATTATGCAAGCGCCACAGCTCGTGAATAGAATTCGACCAACCAAAAATCAAATACATCGAATATAACAACAATAACAAAGAACAACAGCTAAACGCACGCCATGTGTCGCTGTGTATGGCTGTGTGGGTGTTTCTTTAGATACAATATGTATTATGTATATGCTGCAAATTGAAACGTGTATTTGTAAACAATATGCAGACGTCATAGACAAAACTCATTTAAATGAAAGAAAAAACCAACAAGAACAACAACAGCAACGACAGCTCCAACAACCACAACCACAACCACTAATATATATTATGAATATGAAAAACAATAAAAATTAGAAAAAAGTACAGAGCCAAGAAGCGCACAGTTCAGCAGCTATTTTTTTCCACTCGCTATATTTTGTTGTTTTTGGTCATAGCGCTGAAAACTTGTTTTACTACAGGCACAACAACGGCAACAAGTTCAAAATGTGTATAATACTATAATATATTTAATAACAATTTATAGCGAACATTTGATTGCTTCTTGCTTTTTTTATAGTTTTAATATGCAGCGAGTCGTTTTTGCCTTTTTGGTGCGGGCAGAAATTTCGCATGTTATCGCAACATGACAAGTGTCAGCGATATGCGCCAAAGGGGGGCAAACGGCGGGATATTTATTGAAAAAAAGCAAAACAAAAATATATTAAGAGCAGCAGCAAAAACTAACAATTTGACAAAACGTGTTAGTTATGGACACGTACTAAAAAAAAAACAACAAACATTTCATAAAAACAGCATTGAAAAACGTTTTTCTACCTGTTTTTTTTTCGTTGAAGCTTATCAGACTTTATGAGTCACATATATAGAAATGGATTAAAGTAATATATTTCTAGAGTTGGACTTACTTCAGGCCAATAACAAAGGCATTAACTTTTTGAGAATATTATTTCTACACATCATTTATATTTTACTATTCTATTATTTGTTTACTTTTGGGCACTCTCTGCAGCTAGCTTTATCTTATCAATACACTTTCGAGCTGCAGCTCATTTTTTTGTTTTGTATTCCTTTTAAGCATATCACTTTTTAAGTATGAGATTAAGTTGAGACTTGGCAAATGAGTCATGGAAGCGCTTTATCAGTTGATTGTCAAAGCGGAACGCGGAGCGTGAAAATGTTGTTGTCCAACGTGAAGAGCGCGCACCGGCAAACTAAGTCAAATTGAATCGAGCGTCGAGAGTCAAGCAACACGTTTG